AAAGTGGTGAAGGATCTTTAGCTCAGCAAAGATGGGGAGCCCTGTGGATGCACTCTGCGGCATTTCCTCACAATATATAATAACATCTAGCACCTGGTGTGTCCAGGCAGAGAGGCTCCTGGGCTAACCCATGAGGAGGCATTTGTGAATAGGCATTTCCTCAGGAATATATAACATCTAGCACCTGGTGTGTCCTGGGCTAACCCATGAGGAGGCATTTGTGAATCAGAGGATGCAGAGTCACTAAAACAGGAGTCACAGCTGCCCAAGCAGCTGCTGGTAGCTCTCAGCCCCACCAGTCCAAGGGGGCTGTGACTTGTGGTCTTTCCTTGCCAGCACCTGAGGGTGTTTAGGTGGTCCTGGGGGGGGATGATGGAGCCTTTGTCCTCTAGGATAGCTCGAGGGAAACTTTTCCTGCAGGAGCTGGGAGTGCAAAGGCTCTTTGGTTTAGTGAGCTCAGTCCTGGATACAGCTGCAGCAGGAGACAGAGGCTGTGTTCTATACAGGGTGGGAAAACTCCCCTTTGTCTCTGCTTGTCTCTATCTCCACCTCATGAGGAGCACTTCATTTACTTTCAGGTTGTTTTCCACCTTCTGCACAGAAATGCCAGCTGTAAGGCTGTATTTTCTCCTTTTCTGCAGGACTTCCATTAAATTCCTGGTTTTATAAAAGTTCTTTTGCTTCCTCAGCTCTTGTCCTTGTTCTGCTCTAGAAGAACAACCATCTTCTTCTGGGAATTGTTGGCTGGGCAGAGGAGCCAGCTCTCCAGCTGGCTGGGAGAGGGGGTGAGGGAGATTTTTCACCTTGATGGCAAGCCCTTGGGAAAAGCAGAACTTGGGGCTTGGAGCTGGCTGTGACACTGGAGAAGAAGGGAGGCCAGGGTGTGGAGATTTCAGCAGAGCAGCAAGTAAGAGAGGAGTGAAAATGAGTGATTTGGTAGTGGAGGACAGCAAATGGCCACAAACACGATGCCCATGGCCTCTGCAGGGTGGTTACAGCCACAGCTGGCATCCCCAGCAGCCTCTCACGGACACTGGCAGGGTCAGAATGTGACCTTCAGAACAACCCATCACTGGGCTCTCCCTGGAGAGCAGGCAGCTCCCAGCAGGGGAGGGAGACACAGCTTTTGGGGCTCTGGGAGGGGCCCATCTTCTGGAGGGCAAGGAACAAACCCCTCAGTGAGCATGGGCACATCTGCATCAGCCTTCATGAGAGCCACCAGAGGTGGGCACTAACTCCAGAGCTCCTCTATCCAGAACGTGGCTCCAGGCAGGGTGTTCAGCAGCACCCAGCAGCTCCTTTGGATGCATTCCCTGCCAAGCAGGGCTTTCCAAAGTTCCCTGTTGTGGCTGAGTGGTCAGATAATTCATGTGACACGGTTTCTGCTCCCAACTGGGAGAACTTGCAAGCACAAATGTCACCATTTGTGAGCATAATTTTTCCTCTTCGTGTGTGCCTCTGACATTTGCTTTTCACTTACCTTTCCTGCCAGTAACTTGCAATCAGGGCTGGTGGGAGGGAGCAGAGCAAAGGGGGCAGAGCAGGAAGGGACCAGGCAGGGCTTAATGGGGCCTCTGGTGCCCGGGGGCAAATGCTTCTCATCTCCCCAAGAGCTCCTCCCTGGTGCCCAGCAGCTTAAATCAGAATAAATGCTTCAGAAAGCCAGTGCTGTCAGGAGCTCTGCGTGCTGGCAGCAGCAGAGGAGGTAAATGCTGTACCTGTACACAGCCAGCACCTGATGGCACCAGGCAGCTCATGCTGGGCACGTGGGGACATCCTGCAGGACCAGACCTGCTGGGCTGGCTCCTCTTCTTCAACAGAGTTGTGAAAAAACCCTACAGCTCTGGCCATGGACCCTCAGCCACAGGAATTAGGGAGCCACAAGCTCCTGGGGGTGGTGACAAAGCATGAATTGCCTGTGACACTGGGCATGTGGGAGCCCAGGAGTGTCCTGAGGGCACAGTGCAGGGCCAGTGCTGGGAGCCCAGGCACACAGGCTTGCTCTGGGCTGCCATGCAGTGAAATGCCACCAGCTGGGTGTCCTGGAGAGGTCCCTGCACCCTGCACTCACTCCCTGTGGAGGCCACAGTGAGTGGCCAGCAGTGAAAGCCATGGGCAACATGGCCCTGACTCCACAGGGACAGGCACATTCACTGGCAGGTGACAATTGCCACTTACCTGCTTTGGTCTTTGGGAAGGCAGTGGAGATCACTGCTCTGAGCTAAATTTGCTAAGTCTGGACCAGCAGGGGTGGTCTGGGCACTAAACCAAGCAGAGAACCTTTTCCACCAGCCTCAGCAGTAAGTGAGAAGACCTTCTCCCCTCCCACTGTAGCCCAGGCTCACTGTAGATCTTAAACCTTCTCCCAACCTTCCTTTCACCCACGAGCCCCCCACGTTCAGTGCCCCCAGTGACTCCAGGCCAGCTCAGCACAGCACTCAGCTGTTCCTTGGTTTGGTGGCTCTGCATGGCCACAGCCCATGTGGCCTGCCAGGGGAAAGCTCCTCAGAAAGGTCACTCCCCACCAGGCTTTTTGGGAGAAGGAGATTGGGAGCACAGGATCTGTGGCATGCCTCTGATGAGGAAACCACATAGAGCCAAGCCAGGCATGAGGGAAAGGAGCATTAGGAACCGCAGACACAAGGATGCTCCCAGATTCACACAGAATTCACAGAATCACCGGGTTGGAAGAGACCTTCAAGACCATCGAGTCCAACCCAGCCCCAGCACCTCAACTAAACCCTGGCCCCCAGTGCCACATCCAGGCTTTGTTAAACACACCCAGGGATGGGGACTGCACCACCTCCCCAGGCAGCCATTCCAGAACTTTATCACCCTTTATGTGAAAAACTTTTTCCTGATATCCAGCCCGTATTTCCCTTGGCACAGCTGCAGGCTGTGTGCTCTGGCTGTGTCAGTGCTGCTGCAGAGAGAGCCCAGCCCCAGCTGAGCACAGGCACCTTCCAGGAGCTGTGCACAGTGAGGAGGGCACCCCTGGGTCTCCTTTTCTCCAGGGGAGCACCCCCAGCTCCCTCAGGGGCTCCTCTCAGGTTTGTGTTCCCAGCCCCTCTCCAGCCTCGCTGTCCCCTCTGGATGTGCTCAGTGTCCCCAGGTCCTTCCCAAGCTTAGGGACAGAGCTGGTCACAGCACTCGAGGTGTGACCCCAGCAGTGCAGGGACAGGGCAGAGTGACCTCCCTGCTCCTGCTGGACAGATCTCCCTGCAGGGAGGGCAGGCCAGAGCAGCTCCCCAGTAGCCACTGGACATTACCCTGTGCCCCTTCAGAGGCATTTTGGAGCTGGTCCTGCCCAGCTGCAGTGACACATCTCTGCCCCTGGTCCCAGAGGGCTTTGGAGACCATCTACACACGGGTGCCAGCCAGGACATACCTGCTCAGAAGGGCTGCTCTGAGCTGCCAGGCAGGTGCAGAGGAGATCCCATCCAGGCTGGTGAGAGCTCAGATGTTTCCTCCTTGAGCCATGGCTTCTGCTCTGCATTCAAAGTGCTGCTGGATCTCTTCTTTTTCCTAGAGAAAAAAAAAAAAAATCCTTCGTGGTAGTACATTACTGCATGCCTGATGGAGAGTTCCTTCATTATATTATTTTTTAAGACAAAGATCAGAGGCTGGTGCACAGGAGGCTGTGATGATTTCTATGGCTGTTACCATTCCAGCAGGCAAAGCCCCAGCACCAGGAGCTGATCCCCAGCAGCATTTCTGGAAGTTCAGGCTCCCTTTTCCCACAAACTCCATTGTATGCATAACAGCATCCTTCAGGGAGAGCTGAGCATCCCTCCTGAGCTGGGCTTCCCCAGCCTGGGGGAGTCTCCAGCCCCAGCAGAGCCTCCAGATCTCCCCCAGTGCCCCTGGAGGAGGCCACCAGGCCACTGGGCTCTGTGGCATGGAGACATTCTGAGTAAATCACCTCATTTTCCATCTCTGTGGCTGCAGGAGGAAGCTCAGCCTGTGCTGATGACAGTGTTTCAGGCAGCCACAGCACCCACCAGCGCTCACAGCTGAGCCACTCTTGCCCAGGCACAGCCCCCCTCTTGCCAAAATGCCATCACCTTTCCCATCATCTTCCCTGCGCCCACCTCCCCGGGGAAAAAAACCCAAAAATCCACCTCAGCAAAAATGCTCATCCATCCTCTGTGCAAGCCAGCAGGGGTTAATGCTGTCAGCCATGACGTCAGGATCCCAATTTGTCCGGAGAGTCCCCCTCCCCAACCACAAACTCCCTCTCTCCTCCCCTCCTCTTGTGACTTTGCAATGAGCAGCAAAACTCCACAGGAGCTGCGGCACCAGCACTAGGGAGACATCCAGCCCTGCCTGCGAGAGCAGCCCTTCTGCAGACAGGCATTGATATTATTTTCTACACATGCATATATGTAAATTTTTTTATTCACGGGGCTGCATTTGCTGTTCCTTTTTTATTTAATTTTTTTCTTTTTAGCCTTTTCACAAAAGCCCCAAACCTCGCGTGTGACGAGCCTGAGATTTCCCTAAAATAAAATAACTGCACAGTGGGGCTGGGTGGCTTCCCCTTCCCCCGTTGGAAAATAAAGAGGAAAGGGGGAGCAAATAGGTAAAATCCAGAATAAAATCATATTGCTCGAAAACTCACACGTCCTCCCTCTCTCTCTCTCTCTCTCTCTCACACACACACACACACGCACACACACACACACGCTCTTTCTCCTCCTCCTCCTCTCTGAAGGTGGGTAGCAGGAGCCATGCAACATCTGCAGAACCGGATGGCAAAAGAGCAGGAGGAAAAATAATCCAAGTGGAGTGCTCAGGGGACACTGAGTTGGGTTTTTTCTTTTTCCTTTTTTTTTTTTTTTTTCATTTTTTCCTTCTTCTTCTTCTGCCGCGTACCTGTGAGATTCGATTTCACATTTTGCTGAGCCCATTTTGGGGCATTTTATTTTTCTTTCTCTTGGGATTTTCTCCATTGCCAGAGGATGTCTCTTGTTGAGAGGATGCTGACAGAAAGAAGAAACGAATTCTTTGACTGGCACTGAAGGAGCGGGGGGGTATTTTTCCCCCTCATTTTTTAATTTTTTGTCATTATTCTTTTTCTCTAGGAAATCATTAACTGGGGGGGGGGTTGGTTTCTTTTTTCCCTCCCCCCCTTTTTTTGGAGGGGGATTTCAGAAGATCCATCTTTCTTTCCCCTCCCCTCCAAAGATTTTTTTTTTCATCCTTCGTCTTTGTGGAAATGTGGACATTTCAGGCAGACAGATTGAGTGGAATTGTCTCTGCTTTAGCAGCTCTTTGTCTCGCCTGCTGTGCGCAAAGGTAAGGATTGCGATCCCAGGCTGCAGGGACGGGGGGCTGGCACAGGGCTTGTTTGTCTCGCTCGGGCTTTTCTCCATCGAGCTGGATGTGGGCAAGAGGAGGGGGTTCTTTCCCCAAATCGCTTCCCCTGCCGAATGCTGTTGTTACTCCCCAGCCCGCGCCGCTTGGGGGGAGGAGGGATGCTCGTACACGAGATGCGGAGCAGACTCTGCGGCCGGAGCCCACCTCGCGGAGCGTGTGTGCGTGTCCCCCTGCCCAGCCCGGGGGAAAATGGCCAAACGAAGGGCTTTGCCGGGGAACATGGTGCCCGCAGGAGCCCCGGAGCTGCGCTGCCTCGGCCGTGCTCACGCAGCCGCGCGGGCTGCGCCGTGCCACGGCCGCGGCTCTGCGGAGCTCCGGGGGCGATGCCCGCGGCCGTGCCCCGCGCGGACCGTGCCGTGCAGCACCTCCTCCGTGGGTGCCATCCGTCCGCACCCGGCCCCGCGTGTGCGCAGCCGGCCGTGCCCCGTGTGTCGCTCTGCCCTGCGTGGCGCCGGCCAGAGCTGGCAGCGCTGCCCTGCCCGCTCGGGCTGGTCCCGGGCTGTGCCCGGAGCTCTCGCCGCGCTCCGGAGCTGCGGGCAATCGTGCAGCCCGGCCAAGGTGTGCGGAGCGCACCTGTTTGCTCGCTCCTCCGCTGCTTTCCCGCACGGGGGGAGCGCTGCCTGCTGCTGCTGCTCACCCTGCCTCCCTGCCTCCTTCCCTGCCTCCCTCCGCACACCTGCGGGCAGGTGCGTTTGTCCCTGCGCGCTGGCGGGGGGAGCTGTGGCATCTCCGTGCCCAGCCGTGCTCGGGCAGCAGCGCGCTCCCGGCGCACACACGCAGCCCTTGCGGGGCTGTGGGTGCCCACATTTGTGCTCCCATCGCTATAAACACGCACAGGGGGCTGTGGGTGTCCACATTTGTGCTCCCATCGCTATAAACACGCACAGGTCCTTGCAGGGCTGCAGGTGTCCACATTTGTGCTCCCGTCATTATAAACATGCATAGTTCCTCTTGGGGCTGTGGGTGCCCAGATTTGTGTTCCTGTCATTATAAACACACACACACACACACACATACACACACAGTCCTTGTGGGGCTGTGGGTGCCCAGATTTATGCTCCTATGGTTATAAACATGCACACGCACAGGTCCTTGCAGAGCTGTGGGTGCCCAGATTTGTGTTCCTGTGGTTATAAACACGCACAGGTCCTTGCAGGGCTGTGGGTGCCCACATTTGTGCTCCTATGGTTATAAACATGCACACGCACAGGTCCTTGCAGGGCTGTGGGTGCGCAGATTTGTGTTCCTCTGGTTATAAACACGCACAGGTCCTTATGGGGCTGTGGGTGCCCACATTTGTGCTCCTATGGTTATAAGCATGCACACGCACAGGGCCTTGCAGAGCTGTGGGTGCCCAGATTGTGCTCCCATGGTTATAAACACGCACAGGTCCTTGCAGGGCTGTGGGTGCCCAGATTGTGCTCCCATGGTTATAAACACACACAGGTCCTTGCAGAGCTGTGGGTGCCCAGATTTGTGTTCCTGGTTATAAACATGCACACGCACAGGTCCTTGCAGGGCTGTGGGTGCCCAGATTTGTGTTCCTGGTTATAAACATGCACACACACAGGTCCTTGCAGGGCTGTGGGTGCCCAGATTGCTCTCCCGTGGTTATAAACACGCGCAGGCGCAGGCGCGCCCACCCTGCCCACACCATTCATGCATGGTCCCGCTGTGTGGGGACACACACGCAGGCAGCTCGGGAGGCACTGGCCAAGCTAATGTGTGGCATTCAAAGCCCACAGCAAGCCCCTCTGCTCAGACGTGTGTCCTTGCATGTGTGTCTGTCTGTCCAGCACTGATTCTCACCCATAGTCTGCGTGTGTGCCTGTGCACAGCTCGGAGACAAAACACTCTCCATGTGCACGAGCCTCCAGCTACTCCTACACACCCCAGCCAGCAGCACGGGGTGCTGGGATGGAGAGGTTTGGCTGCAAGGGTACGTGGCTGTGCAGAGCACATGGCCACAGACATGGAATCAGGGGCACAGCGCTCCGGAATTCAGATCACAGGCTGGCTGTGAGTGCTCCCCGAGCGGATGCAGACCCACATTCGCCAGGAATAGCACTGGCATGCAGCTGCTCGCCCACAGCTGGGCAAATGCACGACTTGCCTCCTCAGTGGGAGGGATGTGGCTTTTTGGATCACAGGGAGCACTGGGAGGCAAAAGACCTTGTCCTTAATCATGATGGTTTATTCCCTCACTAGGCCACATTGTAGCCGGTGAGGAGGAAAGAGTCCCCGTGGCTCTCTTCCCACTCTGCCCCTTTCTGCAGGGCCCCTGACACATTGTTTGCTGTCTCTACCTCAATTTCCCTTCTTATATTAATGAGACAAACACTGACTCCCGAGTTTATGCACTGCAGGAAGCCAAGCAGAGGTGCCAAATCCCTTGAGAAATGCACAGTGTCCACATTATGAACATGGGAGTCTGTGTACCTAGGAATGGCTGTCTAGAGATGAACGAATGCTGCTGCACGCTCCCGATGCTCAGTGACAGGACTGTTCTGCATGCTGCAAAACCTCACACACGTGCAGAGAAATCCACAGGTGCAAGTGGACCTTGCAAGCCTGGGCACGGCGTTGTGAAAGCGCCCACCCGTGCACACCTCCCTGGCCTTTCCACAGCGATTAAAGCCCTGCGAGGAAGGGCTGTACCCTCTCAGGGGCACGCTCAGGAGTGGAGCTCAGACCCCTTCCCCTGCCAGCACGAGGGCTCCTTGGCTGTGCGTGCACCAGAGCTGGGTGCTGCCTCACATTTGCACATCCCCGTCCCGCTGAGAAATTCCTGCACATCCAGAGCCCCGAGAGCTGCCCAGGCTCCCAGGTGGTCCCACGTGCCTCCACCCACAGCCCTAGGGAGAGTTTGGAGCACCAGACCCATAAATGCCTGCTTCTGTGCTCCTCATAAGTGGTGTCCACAGCCCAGTGTCTCATCACACCCCAGCAGAGCAGGGTCTGCACCCACTGTCACCCCCAGGCACCTCCAGGCCCTGGCTGGGACGTGGTCACACACATGCACACACCTCTGTGTGTGTTATGTAGCCTCACCCAGTGCTCCCCTGTGTCTGTGTGCACAGGCAGGATGTCCCTACCCCCTCCGTGCAGCCTGTCTGTGTGTCTGTCTGTCTGTGTGTGCAGACACAGGGACATGCCAGCGGCAGCCCCTGGCACAGGGCTGGAAGAGGCAGTGGCGTGGTGCAGCTTCCCAGGTTGCTGGGATGGATGTGGGAGGCGGTGTTGACAGGGAGACATGCTGTTGTGGTGGGTGACTGCAAAGAGCAGCAGTTGTCACCGGCAGGGTCTCTATTCTCATGCAAAGCAGGGGACGAGGGTGGCACAGAGGCTGGGGATTCAGGCACAAAACCCGATACACCCCGCAGCACTCAATAGGGCCAGTATTTTTAGCATCCCCTGCTTTCTGGTTTCCCACCTTCAGTTTAGGTTTGGCCCTGGGGCTGATTTCAGGAGGAGCTCCTTCCTTGCTGTAACGTCTGGATGGGTGGTAGGGAGGACATCTGCCCCCTCTGTGTGCAGGTGAAAGGGCTGCCAGGGAAAGGATTGCTGCTCTGGCACACAGAGGGGAAGATGGACTCTCCTTCCCTGGCTCTGCCTCTTGATCTGCGTTGCTAAGAAGTCACAGTGATGCTGAGTGACAGAAACTGAATTTTTACATGGCAAAGATCAGCCGTATATCGAGGCCTTAGGAGAAGAAGCAGCGTTGCTTTCTTCAATATCTTCCCTGTTTGCTTCAATAAGCTGAAGAAAGCCCTGGGTGCAGAGGGAAGCAGAGGCTGCACTGGGCTGTGTGACAGGGCAGGGCGCCTGCTGGGGGCCACTCCTGTAGTGGGGACCTTGGGACGTGCCAGGTCTGTGCTGGCTGATGTAAGACCTGGAGCAAGAGCCCAGCTGGGCTGAGGAAGGGGAGTGAGACTGCAAGGGAGAGCTGCAGCTGCCCCAAGCACAGAAAGGACAATTTCTGCCTCTGTCTGTGCACCCCTCTGTGGGCAGGAACAGGGAAGCCCCCCAGGTGTGTGGGTCAGGGGCCAGGGTGCCTACACCAAAGGGACACCAAGGGACAGAGCTTGGGGTGCCCTGGAGTCAGGGTGAGCTGCAGAAGAGCAGCCAAACCCTGCTGAGACTTCTGAGCCCCTCCCAGGATGGTCAGGAGTCCTGTGGGGCTCGTGGGCAGGTGGGGGGCTGGGAGCTGTGCCAAGGACAGAAGACACGAGTGAGAGAGAGCACAGGGAGGCTCTGCTCGTGGCTGAGGTGCTCTGCTGCCCTGGGGTGTGACGGATGCTAAGGGACCTGGCCGGGACCCCTGGTGCCACACGGGATGACGAGAACTCTCTTCTTTTGTCTTTCAGCCCCTCCACTGGAAATATTTCTGTGGTGAAAGAGATTGTGGACAAACTGCTCAAGGGCTATGACGTCCGCCTCAGGCCCGACTTCGGAGGTACCGTGGGGCAGGGGCAGGGACAGGGGACAGGGACAGGGGACAGGGGATGTGCCTGTGCTGGCCCCTTGGCACTCACACCGCGGGCAGTGCTCCCCTCAGACATCTCCAACCCTATCCCTCACATCCTTACATCCTTCTCCCTCACATTTCTGTCACCCCTCCTGCTTTTCCTTCTCCTCTTGCTGGCTGCTCTCCTTCCAGCCTCACCCATCTCTGCAGGCAGATGTTTGTCCATGGTGTGACATTTCTGGGGATATTTTGTCACAACAGAAACACTCAGCTTTTCCTCTGCTCCCAGCTTTCCTCCATCATGGACAACAAGTGACCCCTCCTCCATTTCTGCTCCCAGTGCCAGATATTTTGGCTTTTTTCCCTGCAGAGGGTCGAGGGGATTGCTGATGGGGCTGTTGGTTGGCCTGCAAAGCTGCTCCCTCAGCAACAGTGAGGCATAAAATATTCCCTGGGGAGCTGGTGGCCTGGCTGCCACTCAGCAGGAGGGGCAAGGGTCTTCAATGCCTCCCTTGGGTCCTGTGAGCAAGCAGGAGAACCACAAGGGCCTGGTGGAGATGAAATATGGAAAATCTTTGGGCACTGTCATGTTCCCAGGTCCAGTTGAGATCCATTTCTTGGAGAGGAACAGACACTGGAAAAGCACAGGGAGGGGGATTTGAGGGCTTCTGGACTCAGCCTGCCAAGCTTGGCTGTTTTAAGTCTTTTCTGGGCAATGTTGAGGAGATGTGAGGGGCTGGGGGATGCTCAGCCCACGGGAGGACAGCTACACATCCAGGTGTCCCTCTCCACAGCACTGATGGGCAACAGGCTCATGCCTGTGCTCTCAGGGGGAAGAGAGGCCAGGCACAATTATTTAGTGCCTCAAGGGAGCAGTTTTCTCCCAGCAGGGCTGCTCCATAGTTCCCAGAAGCTGGGAATGAAGGAATATCCTCCCTGCTTTCAGCAGGGTTTGAAGGCACCATCGCTGTTCCCCACGACCAAACCTGTCTCTCCTTGAAGCCTCTGGTTTCCCTGCACCTCACCCAGACCTGCCCCATGCTCTGACCACCCCATACCCTTCAGCAGAGTCCCTTCCACCCCACAAACACCATCCCCACCACCCTCATCTCCTTGTTCTACCCCGTGCTGGAACAGGGGCTTTCAGGAGGCAGCACCAAGCCCTGCTGGGCCTGGCCTCAGGGAGGGCTCTGGGTGGGGAGATGGTGCCCACCCCTCCACAGTGCTCAGGGACCCCTGGGAGGTCACCCAGGGCAGTGGGAGACATTCTGGCTGCAGCATCCTGCAGGCAAACAGGGCTTCCAATCTTCCCTCTCTCCTTTGAACATGGGATAGGCTGGCTTTGATTTAAAGGCTCTGCCCAGCAAACACGAAATGTCCCTATGACCTGGCCAGGCCTGACCACAGAAATTGGTGCAGTCACATTTTATGAGGGTGAGAGCCGTGGAGATGACATAAAACTGGAAGAGGAGCAGGGTGTAGAGGCATGGCAGGGACTGTGATCCAGTGCAGCAGGAGGAGAGCTGGCTCTGCAGTCAGGGAGCACAGGGAGCCACGGGCTGGGGCCACCAGGTTTTGTTCCCTGATTCCAGGCCCTAGAGAACCCAGGACAGGGCTGGGCCCTTCCTCTGCCAACCCTACAGATCTGTGCAGTGCTGGGGCTGGGCTTGGCAGGCACTGCAGGATGGACGGGGCTGGGCAGCCCTGGCTTTTCATTTGATTTGGCTCTGAATTCCCAAAGTGCAAGCTGCATTTCTCCTCACTCAAGCAAAGAAATAGAGTTATGACCATAACTCCCTTCCCAGTAATTGCCCCACTGCTGCCCTTCACCCTTTCTTGTCCTTCCCTTTGTTCATGAGAGCAAGGTCCTGTTGGGGAGCACCTTGGTGCTCGTGGTGCAGGGATGCCCAGACTATCAGCATACCTGGCACCCTCCCCAGGACAAAATTTCTGCAGCATTTCCAGCTGGGCTGACACAAGGGTCTGGAGGCTGGAGATTGTTGGTGTTCCAAGGCCAGGGAAAGGGGTGGAAGGTTCCTTGTACCACTGCTGTACCCAGAGCTCACCAGCTCTCTGGGCTTTTGGAGCAAGCCCATTTCTGGGTGCAATCCAGTGGGATCATGCCAGGAGGTGTCTAACCCTGTGTGGCTCCCAGTCCTGTGTGGAGAGGGTGAAGTTCTCCCCAGTAACTGGTGTGCAGCTGGCACAGCCACAGGACCCACAGGAACAGCCTGAAGCTGTGCCAGGGGAGGCTCAGGCTGGATATTAGGGAAAGGCTCTTTCCCCAGAGGGTGATTGGAACGTGGAACAGTCTCCCCAGGGAATGTTCATGTCCCCAAGGCTGCCAGGCTCCAGGAGTGTTTGTACAATGCTCTCAGACACAGGCAGGGGTTGTTGGGGTGTCCTGGACAGGGCCAGGAGTTGCACTGGGTGATCCTTGTGGGTGCCCTCCTGCTGTCATGTGCTGTGATTCTGTGGGAAAGGCACAGTTTGGGCAAAGCCCTGGGGCCTGTGTGTGTGCAGCCCTGCTGTCCCCAGGGCCGTGTGGGACTGAGCTCCAGTTCCATCACCCTGAGGACTGCCCTGCTCTCCAGGACTGCCCTGTGCTCCACCTGGACTGTGCTGCCACCCCTCCTCTGCCTCCCAGCTGGGCAGGTGGGCTGTAGCCTCTCTGTGGGAGGAGGTGATCCCACCACCAAGGTGGCACCCCAGAGGGGTGGCAGGTCCTGCTGGGAGCCCTGTGCCCCACAGGGATGTCATGGAGCTGCCTCAGGGCTGGCCAAGAGTGGCCAGGGGCTCTGGAGGACAGGCAGCTGCCTGCCTCAAGTGGGAGGAGTGCCCAGGAACCAGAGTGAGCTGTGCCTCTAAAGCCAGAGCCCTCAGCTCCCTGTGGCTCAAGGGTGAGGCACCAGGGGCAGGAATGTCACAGCAGCCAGTGCTGGGCTTCCTGGAGGTGTGGGCACAGCCAGGTGCTTCCCAAACAGACTCCCACATGAGGAATGCAACCCACCGACACGATGAACCAGTCTGGCTTCCCTTTCTCCCTTCCCTGCTCTTCCCTGCTGCTTTCCCCATGTTTTCCTCCTGCAGCAGAGTTGTCCTGTCCCCACATCAGTGGCAATCACCCTGCCCTGTCCCCACCCTCTCAGCCTTGGGCACAATGTCCCAGCTCCACATCCTGGGGTGCCTCCCCCCTTCACTCCTGCCTGCAGAGCAGGAGCAGCTGGGACCCTTTGGGTGTGAGGGCACATGGAAGGATGTTCCCATGTTCCACCTGCCATGCTGAAGCAGCTCTTTCCCCTCACCATCTTTCTAAGAGAGTCCCCAGGCTCATCCCAGCACCCCGACCCTGCCCAGGACGTGGTGCTTCCACAGCTCCAAACACAACTCGTGGCTCCCCAGTTATCTTTTTTTTTTTTAATTTTTTTTTGAAAAAGAGAAAAATAACTCCGCCTAATGCCAAAAGGAGGACAGGCCTGCTGGGGATTGCAGTTCACTTTTTAATTTTGAGATGCCTCGTTAGCTCTGGGCCGAGCTGAGTGGCTGAGAAGCATCAGCCTCTCGCTCTCCTCCCTCTCCCCACCCCCCTGGAAACCCATTAGGCGATGAGCAGGTCAGCTCTCAGGGGTGGTGCTGGGCAATGAGTGCCATGTGCTCACCTGGGGAGCTGGGCTGAGCAGGGGACACCAGAGGGGACAGCTGGAGCCGTGGGGAGATGAGGGAAAAATCTGGGAGCAGCTCCATGGGAAAGCCAGCGTGGTTAGGAGGGAGCAGCCTGAGGGACAGGCCCCTCTCGTGTTTCAGCTGCTGTCCCCAAGCCCTGCAGTGTCACCCCGTGCTGGAGAGACGTGGGACAGTGCCAGGGTGGGACAGGGCTGGTACAGGAGAGGGCCTGGCAGGGAATGAGGGGACAGGAGCTGGCAGACAAGCCCAAAGGGTCTGGCCAGGGTTGTGGTGGGATCTGGAGCAGCCTTCAGGAGGGGTGTGCAGGGAGCAGCAAGAGACAACCAGGCCTCCAAGAGACAGATCTGTGTCCTGGCACTGCAAGACCAGAACAATGCAGAGAGGGGGTTTTGGACAGCACATGCCAGGTGGGTGCCATGAGCTGGCCCTGGGGGATGGACAGCCTGGGGTCATTTATATAGCACACTAATTCCACCACCAGGTGAGCAGGATGTCCATGGCTTAGGGCTGGCTGGGCAGGGGGTGCTGCAGATAATGTCTGGAATCATCTCAGAGCAGCACCCTGGCTCCTGTAAGTGCTCTTAGGCACTCACTTCCAGAACCATTAGCTCCATAGGAGAAAAAAAGGGAAAGAAAGCAAACTAAGATGGTATTGCCCCAGGGTAGAGAAGCAATGAAGGAATGGCAGGAAGATCCCACTTGAGCTCAGTGACTCAGCTGCTCTCTGTTGGTGCAACGTTTCCAGCCCAAAACTTTGCAAGAGTTCCAAGCAGATGGCTCTTGATGGTTTTCCAGCATCGTTTGCAGGTCTTGGTAGCCAAAAGCAAGGTGAGGGCACTCTCTGCTCCTTGCTGCCAGCCCTCCTGGAGTGCAGGGTTCCTGGTGTTTCTCCTGGGGGGAATGCAAGTGTCTGGAAATGTCTGGTGAGAACAGAATGACCGTGAAGCCCTTGGGATTGTACAGTAAATCCTGGGTTTTCGTGCCTGTGGATCCAGCAGATTTCCCTGCTCCATTTTAAATTCAAACCTCCCTAAGAAAAATTAGCATTTAAGGGGTCTTGGGTTGAAATGAGCCTGCGTCCTGTTCCTCATCTACTTTGTGTGATGGATGAGGCTTCCCAGCTCTGATCACCCTCATTTAGGATATCCAAACCCCTCTTTGCTGCAATATCTTGGCCTTCCTCCCTTCTGTGCCCTGCCCCTCCTGCTCTCAGCCCCTCTCGGCTCCATCACACCTCCACCCTCCCGGGCACCCAGCCCTGCTCCCACGTCCTGTTTATTCCCCAGTATTCCTTCTACAGTGGC